GTTCTATGGTTACGTCAGTTCTAGGTTACGTCAGTTCTATGGTTACGTCAGTCCTATGGTTACGTCAGCTCTATGGTTACGTCAGCTCTATGGTGACGTCAGCTCTATGGTTACGTCAGTTCTATGGGTAGGTCAGTTCTATGGTTACGTCAGTTCTATGGTTACGTCAGTTCTATGGCTACGTCAGTTTTATGGCTACGTCAGTTCTATGGTTACGTCAGCTCTATGGTTACGTCAGTTCTATGGTTACGTCAGTCCTATGGTTACGTCAGCTCTATGGTTACGTCAGCTCTATGGTCACGTCAGTTCTATGGTTACGTCAGTTCTATGGTCACGTCAGTTCTATGGTCACGTCAGTTCTATGGCCACGTCAGTTCTATGGCCACGTCAGCTCTATGGTTACGTCAGTTCTATGGTTACGTCAGCTCTATGGTTACGTCAGTTCTATAGTTACGTCTATAAACTTGCTCAGTTGTGCTCGCTCACCGGGTATTGTCTGATATATCAGGGTCAAAATCAACGAGCTAGTACACAGTTTTAGAGAAATCAATGTTCGATGGTACAAATCATTGAATTCTGGGTAATTTATATTGCTACGTGACATACCAGTTCTTGCAGAAAATATTATTATTTGAGTTTGCAGAGAAGTGAAAATAATTACTTACCACTTAGAGGTGGGTAGAGTTAGTAATCCATACAGTGTCAACAGTTAGCAGTAAAACAAGACAGTGTCAGTAAAGAAGACAGTGTTAGTGAAAGAAGACAGTGTTAGTGAAAGACTACAGTGTTAGAAAATGAGGACACATTAGTGAAATAAGACATTAGAATAAAATTCTCCAGACGGACATCCGAGTATTTTCACCGCCTGGCAACCATCACGGTAAAAAACAAAGGCCTAAAACTCTCAGAGTTCCCACTCTTGATATTAAAATATCAATGTTGAATAAAAAAACTTAATTCCTTTAAACTTGGGAATGTGGGTTTGACTCTTGTCTAACAAAATCAATTTTATTTTTAATATCAACTCTTTTTCAGATGAAAAAGTTGATGGTGCTGTCTCTGTTCATGGAAAATGTAAAATTTTAAAGTTATTTTCAAAATATTGTTAGTTTTAATATTTGACACGGACAAACTGATTCTAACAAATTGTTAAATCTTTTTTATGATAAAAACATGGTGTTGCTAAAGTCCTGATGATGAGGTTAAATTTTTGCCGATGATTAATAATCAATATTATGTCTAAAAAAATTAAGGAACTAAGTTTTTCACCCTGCAATGATCTTTTGATGTTGTCTCCAAGTTGGTATACATTATGAATTAATTTATTCATTTTAGTTGATATTTATTTTTACTAATTTAAGCGCTGTACAAAGCTTGTGTATATAAGTATTTGCTGGATTCTTTTTTCGATGATTTCCCCGACAGTAAAATGTGTTACTGTAGAATACTTTATTTTTGCTGAAGGGATGATTCCGTGAAAATAAAATCCAGCAAATATTTTTTTTTTCTTATATTTTACATTGAGCTTGTCAAAAATCAGTGAAAATAATATCCAAACAAAACACCCAAAAAGATTTTTTCGGCGAAAATTAATTCCAGCTAAAATAAAGTATTTCACAGTATTTGCTGGATTCTTTTTTTCGCTGATTTCCCTGACAGTAATATGTGTTATTATATTAAAGCGAGAGGGTCATCACCTGTGTACGCGCAAGAATTGAGTCCCAAGCAAAGATAACACATGCTAAGAACGCAAAGACTCATGGGTAGACGCTTGTTTGTAAACAATGTCACGCCATGGCCATCTGTCGCATGCATAGGTGACACCTCCCCCGCTTTAAACACAATGAATATACAAGTATTGTTTCCTACACAAATCAGTGAATTTTTAAAGTTTATTGGATAAAATTGGAATACATTGAGATTACTTTATTCCTTCAATGGAAATATCAAAAACTAATTTCAAGTACTGTAAAATACTTTATTTTAGCTGGAATTAATTTTCACTGAAAAGACTGACTTTTTTGGTGTTTTGTATGGAATAGGACAAGATTTATTCGCTGGATTTTATTTTCACTGAATTATTCCTTCAGCGAAAATAGTGAAAATTAATTCCATGCGAAAATAAAGTAATGTACAGTAATATTCTACATCACTGCTGGGTTTAGAGAGAGAGTTGTGTAGAGATAAACCACTAAGCTAAGGTGTCTGGTTCAAAAATCACTAAGCTAAAGAGTCTCAGAGCATGTAATCAATATGTAAAACTAATTATAATAGTAATTGACCACAAAATATTGGATATATGTCTGCTGTCATGGAAACCCCAAAATAATACTAGATAGATAATCATTAAAGTATGCAGAGAAGAAAAGCTGCTTTAGGCTATGCCAGGTTATGTGCAGTACGGTTTGTTGTCATAGAAACCACCAAAGCTTAGATATCACATATTGTAAGTTTCTAAAATGTGGCATAAATGTTTCAAGACAGTCATCTGTTATGTATTTAAAGTAATTGATAGAGATTCTAAAAATGCCTCAAGCTAAATAAAATCATGGAGGACATTGCAGATAAAGCACCACAACAATGCTGTGATGTTATGCAATGTGATTACAACACTGTCAATGGATTCCTCTGGTTATACAACCATATATGGTACTAATAGAATAAATATGATTTGATTGCACTGATGGGACTGCAATGGTGAGATGCAATGGTGAGATGCAGTGATGTGATGCAGTGATGTGATGCAGTGATGTGATGCAGTGATGTGATGCAGCGATGTGATGCAGTGATGTGATGCAATGCTTCAGTGACGTGATTCAGTGATGTGCTTCAGTGATGTGATGCAGTGATGTGATGCAATGAGATGCAACATGATGCAATGCAGAGATGTGATGCAATGAGATGCAACAACGTGATATGATGCAGAGATGTGATGCAATGCAATGAT